GCCTTGCATTAAAAAAAAAAAAAAAAACGTTAAATTTAGAGATCTATAATCCCTAATAATAACTGCAGTCCTACAACATTCTGTCACTTGATGACACTCATATACCCTCTCAGAAAAGTCTAGTGGCTAAGAATTAGCTTTTTACAGTGTCTGCTATAATGTTAATGTTGTTTTTGTGTGTTTAGATGAACATGGTAACGATGTAAATACACAGTACAGTTATGATCTTGTTGCCACATTAGATAGTTATGATAACATAATATATGCCAGTGATTTCCTGAAGATTAATACCGAAAAATTCTAGATTTCAACTGGAATAACTAGTTGCTATTGTCTGATCTCATATGAAGCAAGAGATCGCGATGACATATGATGATGTGTGCATGTGCTGTAGTGCTGTCCCAATTCTTAGGGCTAAATTTTGAAGCCCTTCCTCTTAATCCTCGGTTGTAAGGGCCAAGGGGAAGGGGTAGGGATACAAAAATAGAATTGGGATTGGGCAAAAATGTTCAGCAGGTGATGCTGAACAGCCGATTTAACGTCCTCAGAAACAGATAAAATTAACTATCAAGGTTTTATATTGCACATATTCCCACCATTCCTAAATCAAACGGCCCATGAGGGGATCTAAAAGGCACGTTGCATCTGAAAAAACATCTCACCTACATAAAACCTTACCCTAAACTAGGGGTGCCCAAACTTTTTCTTACGATAGCCAAAAACCAAACTTGATATTTCAGTAGTCATATCAAAGCTGTAAATCAGCATACTATCATCTCAAAACATTTCAAGAATTAAATGTTTTGTTTCTTGTGAGGATTTAGAGAAACTTGTTCATGCTTTTATAAGCAGCAGGGTGGATTACTGTAACACCCGCCTTCCCAAAAAGACAGTCAGACATTTGCAGCTCATCCAGAACGCTGCGGCCAGAATTGTGATCAGAACCAGGAATTCTGAACACATCACACCTGTCCTCAGGTCTTTACACTGGTTACATTCAGAATAGATTGTAATGTATTATTACCGGTGTATAAATCACTAAATGGCATAGGACCTCAATACATTACAGATATGCTCACTGAATACAAACCTAACAGATCACTCAATCTTTAGGATCAAATAAACTAGAAGTTCCAAGAGTTCAGTCAAAGCAGGGTGAATCAGCTTTCAGCCACTATGCCCCTCGCTGCTGGAATCAGCTTCCAGAAATGATCAGATGTGCTCCAACATTAGGCACATTTAAATCAAAACTGAAAACACATCTGTTTAGCTGTGCCTTTATTGAATGAACACTGAGCCACGTCCGACAAATCTCACTTTTATGTCTTTCTCTTTTTTTCATTTTTTATAACCTGTTTTTAACACATTTTAATGTTTTTATCTGTTTTAATCATTTTTATTATTTGTTTTTATTTTCTTATACTTTTATTTCTGTTTATGCAAAGCACTTTGGATTGCCACTGTGTATAAAATGTGCTATATATATAAACTTGCCTTGCCTTGATTGAGGCTAGTTGGCCAAATTTAAATATAGTTACTATGGGTAATATAGTAACCATGGGTAATACCATGGGTCATCAAAATACACCTTTATTTGATGTGAATATGTATCCTCTAATGGTGAAAATTGCACACAGTGCCTTAAATTAAATTTTTAATCACAGTAAAGCACAGTTGAGTAGTGGTTAGCACTGTTGCCTCATAGCAAGAAGGTTGCTGGTTTGAGTCCCGGTTGGGCCAGTTGGCTATACTGTGTGGAACATTGCATGTTCTCCCTCTGTTCGCATGGGTTTCCTCTGGGTGCTCCGCTTCCCCCCCACAGTCCAAAGACATGCACTGTAAGTGAATTGGATCAACTAAATTGGCCTTAGTGTTTGAGTGTGTATGGGTGTTTCCCAATACTGGGTTGAAGCTGGAAGGGCATCCGCTGCGTAAAACATATGCTGGATAAGTTGGCGGTTCATTCCACTGTGGTGACCTCTAAAATAGAAACTAAGCTGAAGGAAAATAAATGTTGGGTCGGTTCATATTTAACCCAAATTTAGGTTAAAATAAGCTAGCATTTTAGAGAGTCTATGTTTTTGGGGTTTTGTACAATTTATAGTAGCAACATTTTTTACATTGAAATATGTTGACAGATATATTCATATTTGATAAGCTTTAGAGCGCATGGCTACAAAAATCCTACCATTTCTTAGGTATGAAAAGAAATGGTATTTAATACATTCATATCAGCATTGCTCTCCTCCATTTGCATTGAAATGTGCCGCGTGTGGGTTTTTGTCTCACGTCTTGCACAGTGTGTCCCTGCATGTCTACAGTCAGTCCAGCTTCCTTCACTGTGAGCTGAATGTGCCGTTTCTCTCGTCATGGCAACAGCAGCGCGGCATAAAAGAAGTGATGAAGCTCGCATCCAATTCTATGCGCTTTAAAAGAAGAAAAAAACTGCGTTTCTGCTGCAATTAACTGTTCGGCCCCGAGAGGCTTGGCCGGGGTCACCAATCTTGTATGCCAGAGTGAGCTAAAAGTTGTCACTGTAGAATTATATCATCCCCATAACTGGCTATTTTCAATGCAGTTACACCTGCTAAATTGGACTGTGAATAGCCATAATAGCGTCCGGCTATACTGCGATTCGTTGAATGAGTGATGAATCCCATCTCTCCCAGCATGAATGATGGTTCAGTCCATTCTGTTCCATTTTTATACAGAAACTCAATGCTATTGTGTTGGAGGTGGAAACTTGAAGCGCTCTGGAAAATTTGTGTGGGTGAAGATCCTTTTAAACCTGCTTGAATGTGTATGTGTGAAGGCACAATGACATATTCACATTGTATTTGGCTGAATAAGAGGAAGGTGTACATATTTGTGTGTGTGTGCGTGTGTGTGTGTATGTATGTATGTATATATATATATATATATATATATATATATATATATATATATATATATATATATATATATATATATATATATATATGGGGTATGAATAATTTCAGGCTTGACTGTATGTACACTTTACAAGTATGGACCCACTTTTGCCTTAAAAACAGCCTTATTCCTTCTTGGCATAGATTCAACAAGCTACTCAAAATATTTTTCAGACATTTTGGTCCATATTGACATGATAGCATCACACATTTGCTGCACATCCATGATGTAAATCTCCCGTTCCACCACTTCCCAAAGGTGCTCTATTGGATTTCGATCTAGTGTTTGTGGAGGCCCTTTAAGTACAGTGAACTCATTGTCATGTTCAAGAAATCAGTTGATTCGCACTTTATGACATGGCGGATTATCCTGCTGGAAGTAACCATCAGAAGATCTGTGGTAATAAAGGGATGGACATGATCAGCGACAGTACTAGGTAGGCTGTGGCTCTGACACGATGCTCAATTGGTACTAAAGTATGGGCCCAAAGAGCGCCAAGAAAATATCCCCCACACCATTACACCACCACCACCAGCCTGAACCATTAATACAAGGCAGGATGGATCCATACTTTCATGTTGTTGATGCCAAATTTTGTCCATACTTCCTAAATGTGGCAGCAGAAATCAAGACTCAACAGACCAGACAACGTTTTTCCAATGTTGCAAATTGTAGCCTCAGTTTCCTGTTCTTAGCTGACTGAAGTGGCACCCGTCGTGGTATTCTGCTGCTGTAGCCCATCTGCCTCTAGGTTGGATGTGTTGTGTGTTCACAGATGCTCTTCTGCATACCTCAGTTAACGATTGGTTACTGTTGCTTTTCTATCAGCTCGAACCAGTGTGGAAATTCTCTGACCTCTGACATCAACAAGGCATTTGCGCTCACAGAATTGCCGCTCACTTAATATTTTCTTTTTTACAGACCATTCTCTGTAAATGCTAAAGATAGCTGTGCATGAAAACCCCCGTAGATCAGCAGTTTCTGAAATACTCAGACCAGCCATGCCATGTTCAAAGTCACTTAAATCACTTTTTGAACTGCAGCAGATCATCTTGACCATGTCTTCAGGCCTAAATGCATTGAGTTGCTGCCATGTGATATACTGATTAAAAATTTGCGTTAACGAGCACTTGGACAGCTGTAAATAATAAAGTAGCCAGTGAATGTAAATATAAATGCGAGTATTTAAAAATAGCATGACTATAATTTAACACAAATACATATTTTGATCTCTCTTAAATTACTTTTTTTGTCCCTTTAAAGTTACTATTTTTATACAATTATATATTTGTATAATCAAGCTAAAACTGCAACTAATCTAACAAAAAGGCTTTAAATCATTCATTCATTAATTTTCTTGTCGGCTTAGTCTCTTTATTAATCTGGGGTCGCCACAGCGGAATGAACCGCCAACTTATCCAGCAAGTTTTTACGCAGCGAATGCCCTTCCAGCCGCAACCCATCTCTGGGAAACATCCACACACACATTCACACACACACACACTCACTCATAACCCACGTGAAGGCAGGGAGAACATGCAAACTCCACACAGAAACGCCAACTGAGCCGAGGTTCGAACCAGCAACCTTCTTGCTGTGAGGCAACAGCACTACCTACTGCGCCACTGCCTCGCCCCGGCTTCAAATCAGTCCAAAAATTTGTACGCGCAAAATAAAATAATAGGGAAAAATATTACATACATTTCATAAACAGGAAAAATGAAGAGAAACACAAATAAATATAGACAAGTTGTACTATTTGTAATAATATTGTTTAATAATTTGTATTATATAAAAATGTATACATTTTGTTTTATAAAGTATAATGTTTGTATTATAAAGTATTCATTTTCTATTTCTAAAAATGTTAGCTGATCAAACTTTTATTTTAATGGATTAAATGTTAAATAAACTGTTTTTTCAAAAGGGGGTGTACTCATTTATGCTGAGTACTTATTATTATTATTACTATGATTATTATTATTATATGGTATTTTTATGTTTTGTTTATATATTTGTTTTCATTTTATTTTAGTCACTCAATTTAATGTATTCCCTGTGCTCATCAGGTTGGAGATCAGATGAAGTTGCTGCATAACTGCTGGAGTGAACTTCTAGTGCTGGACTATGTTGCCAGACAGTTGCATCATGGGAAAGAGGACAGTGTGCTTCTCATTACTGGACAGGAGGTATGAAACACCCACTTAAAACAAGACACATCCATTCAGTCAATATCTAACTGTGTATGCTATTATGGATTTCTGTCCACTCTCAGAAATAAAGGTATGCGAGCTGTCACTGGGGTGGTACCTTTTTATAAGGTGCACATTTGTACTTAAAGGGTTCATATTGGCACCTTAAAAGTATATATTAATACCTAAAAAAATTAAGAGGAACACTTTTGTACTTTTTAGGTATTAATATAGACCTTTAAGGTACTTATTGGTATCTTTGGAAAAGGTACCACTCCAGTGACAGCATGCGTTCCTTTATTTCTGAGAGTGTATGATATTTACTATGTGTGTATGTGTGTCAGGTGGAGCTTGCATCTCTCCTGGCCCAGGCAGGGGTCACTTTAAGCGGGATGATCCAGAGAGGACAGGAGCTGGTGCAGCGTCTACAGGAGCTACAGCTGGACCGCAGAGAAACCGCCTGCCTCAAATACCTCATCCTCTTTAACCCCGGTGAGAATCATAAAGCTAATTCACTTACGCACATTTTAATATTAAAGTACACATGAAATTTAAACGAGCCATTTGATTTTGTTAGTTGACATTGCTAATTTTGTGTTAAACAAAAAAAAATGGTTGCAGCTTCCAGTTTATGTGAACTTTAGACATTAATAAAACCTAGATTAGAAGAGGTGCAGAATATGCAGCCTAAGGACCGATTTATACTTCTGCGTCAAGCGCACATGTATGCTCCGGCGAAGCATTCACGTGGTCACATAGCCCTCGCTGTGGCCGACGCTGAAAAATGTAACTACACATCACAACAAAGCATAGCACCAGCTCTGTGATTGGTCAGCTTGGTAGCTGTGCTGAGTGTGGGCGGGACCAAGAGCCGTAAGCCCGTTGGAGCGAGTGTTTACAAGTGTCCAGTCCCGTGAAGTAGCTCCAGATGGAAACTTTTGTTTTGTGTTTACCTTATGATTAAAGTTGTTGCACGTCTGCTGGTTTCCACCTCTGAATGAGCACGTTTGAACCACTTGTACATTAAGGTAGCGTTCAGAAAAAACAAAACACCAGCAAAGAAAGTTGACACAGAGAAACATAAATACCTCACTGCCAGCTAGCATTTCGGAAGTGTTATTGCAGAATAACACAAACAGCAAGCAAAAGTACAGATGCACAGCTACATGCAAGGCTAGTGCAGTGGGTCACGGTGATCACTCGGCGCAGAAGTATAAACCAGCCTTTAAACTCACTGGCAACTTAGTTCATTTTCTTTAATTGTGATTTTTTTATTTTTGTTTTTCAGTTAAAAGGATAGTTCTCACTGAAATGAAAAATTGCTTACTACTGTATGTACTCAGCCTCATATATTTCCAAATCTCTATGAGTTTATTTTTCTGTTAAACACAGAAGAAGATATTTTGTAGAAAGCTGAAAACCTGTAACCATTGACTTCCATAGTATGGAAAGCAAATACTATGGAAGTCTATGGTTACAGGTTTTCAACATTTTTCAAAATATCTTCTTTTGTGTATAACAGAGGAAAGAAACACATAAATGCTTCGAGAAGTTAAGAATGAGTAAACATGAGTAAATACAGGATTTTTATTTTTAGGTGAACTATTCCTTTAAATAAGGTGTTTTTGATACTGCTGACGTTCATATGTAAATGAGCGATGTTATGATTGGCTGGCATTTTTGGAAGTGAACCATTTAGAGACTAGTGTTCAAAAGTTTGGAGATCTTTTTCTCTTTAATATATTTCAGATATTTTCAAATATGAATATATTTTAGGTTGCATTTATTTGCTAATTAATCCCATAGACCCATTCATTTATTTTCTTGTCGGCTTAGTCCCTTTATTAATCCGGTGTCGCCACAGCGGAATGAACCGCCAACTTATCTAGCAAGTTTTTACGCAGCGGATGCCCTTCCAGCTGCAACCCATCTCTGGGAAACATCCACACACACATTTACACACACACTCATACACTACGGACAATTTAGCCTACTTTGGACTGTGGGGGAAAGCGGAGCACCCGGAGGAAACCCACACGCACGCAGGGAGAACATGCAAACTTCACACAGAAACGCCAACTGAGCCGAGGCTCGGATCAGCGACCTTCTTGCTGTGAGGCAACAGCACTACCTTCTGCGCCACTGCTTTGCCTTACAATAGAATCAGTAATTAATAATTAAAATTATTAATAGTCTACATTTACTTCAGCTTTCAGTGTCACATGATCCTTCAGAAATCATCCTAATATGCTGATTTGATGCTTAAGAAATATTTCCTATTAATGCTGAAAATGAAAAATTGTGCTTCTTAATAATCCTGCGGAAAACTGCAATATGCAGTGGCTCAGTGGTTAGCACTAATGTATGGGTGTTTCCCAGTACTGTGTTGCTGCTGAATAGGTTGTGTAAAACATATGCTGGATAAGTTGGCGGTTCATTCCGCTGTGGTGACCCCTGATCAATAAAGGAACTAAGCCGAAGAAAAGGAAAAGGAAACTGCAATATGTTTTTTTAAAGTTACTTTGATGAGCAGAAAGTTCAAAAGAACACCACCTACTTGACTTGAAACTCTTTTGTGACATTATAAATGTCTTTACTGTCACTTTGATTGAATTCATGGAGTCCTTTCTGAATAAAAGGTGTTAATTACTTTTCACAAACAGAAAAACAGAAAGAAAATCTTTCTGACCCCAAACTTTTGAACAACACTGTTTTATTGTGCAAAGGGGTTATGAAAAATGTTATGACATCATCATTTCTGCAGCTCTAGAAACAGTTTGGGAATATTTTTCATTAACCTCATGTCAAATCCACCAAGCCTGAGTCCTAAAAGTTTCACTTTCTGAATCCCGATCGGCTAATAAAATAACTTTTTGCCCGTAGTGCAAGTGTCATTCCGCACTTAGAAGTTTTAATCCTTAATAAGTTCCTCTCGAGCGTTTTTAATGACTTTTAACTAATTCCAGAGGCCAAAACAGCTTCCCGTTAATGATGAACATGTGCTAAATTTCATCTCTCATTCTGTCTCTTTGCCTCAGCTCAGCTGATGTTTTAATAGTATAATATAAAAGGCATTTTCATAGCCTACGACGCACCGCCGTCACCCTGTCCTCCGCGTATTATTGAGCGTATATATATTTCCTCCGCTGGGGTTTGACCGAGGCTAATTAACTTCTCAAAAGATGAATATTGCATTGATTTCGAGCCCCGCTAACGAGGACGCGCTTGTAACAGGCTATTTGTCGTGAGTGGCAGCATGTTTTGTGTGGCGCTTGCTGCGCGGTAACTGGGTAATGGGCTTAATTAAAATGAAAGCCTTCTGAATCACTGCTGTTTACAAAGGCAGGGAGCCGGACCCCGTATCCACTCGCAGACGCACACGCGCCGTCTATAGAGAGACTCTGGCTCAAAAGAAGTTTAATGGATTGACCCCATATTGGTCTATGCCGCCGTGCCCCTCTCTTTCTCAGCGTCAGGAGAAAATGCTCCTTCATTGTTCCGATTCCCTTAAGTGAGAGCAATTTAGCGTCAACAAAAGCTGCTTTTCATAATAAGACCGCATGTGTGTGTGTGTGTGTGTTCAGCGAGTGCTTGAAAACCCATTTTCCACTTTAACCAGACTCTATCGATGCTTCTCTGCAGATGTGAAACTGTTGGAAAACCAGCCTTACGTGGAGAGCGTGTACGAGCAGGTGAATGCCGCGCTGTTGGAGTACACGCTGTGCGCGTATCCGCAATTCCCGGACAGGTTTAGCCAGATTCTGCTGCGCCTTCCTGAGCTCAGAGCGCTGAGTTCGCAAGCCGAAGACTACTTGTGCTACAAACACCTGAGCGGAGAGGTGCCCTGCAACAACCTCCTCATAGAAATGCTGCATGCCAAGAGAACCTGCATCTGACACTCATCTGCGCACATTCACACCCGATTCCTTTGCAGATTTGACTCTGTTATCGACTGTATGTTCTGGAGCCGTCATCTCTCGCACAGAGAAAACCTCATCAACCATGCCACTGTGTTTCGGAAAGAAGACGAGGGGAGATGTCAGTGTTAATAATGACTGTGTTTATAAAATAGAGTATTGCGGCGATGATGTAATTTTGTAGGCCCGTCCAGAAGTTCGCATCACCCTCCACATGGGCATGTTTGATTCCCTATTGGATTATTGCAGGAAATACGCTCTGTGGCCTCTTAAGAAATGACTACGAATACGAAATTAATATGAATTTTCTGAAGTTTCTAAATAGTTAACACAGAAATGAGAGTTCCATAATGTTGTTTCGATTCCTAGAGATCTTCAATCATCTTCAGAATACAAATTTAACATTTAAAAAACTATTTTTATTTTATTAAACATTGTCATAGGGGTGACGCAGTGGCGCAGTAGGTAGTGCTGTTGCCTCGCAGCAAGAAGATCGCTGGTTCGAGCCTCGGCTGGGTCAGTTGGTGTTTCTGTATTCGCGTGGGTTTCCTCCGGGTGCTCCAGTTTTCCCCACAGTCCAAAGACATGAGGAACAGGTGAATTGAGCGTAGTGTATGAGTGCGTATGAGTGTTATTCAGAGATGGGTTGTGGCTGGAAGGGCATCCACTGTGTAAAAATGTGCTGGATAAGTTGTCGATTCGCTCCGCTGTGGCGACCCCGGATTAATGAAAGGACTAAGCCGAAAAGAAAATGAATGAATGAATGAATAAACATTGTCATACAAGTTAACGAAGGCTTTAAATGTTCAGTTTAGCAAAAATACCACAACAATTATATGTAAACTCAATATAACTTAATACTCTTCAAAAGAAAGAAAATCAAACAAACTATTAAAATTAATAATAATAATATTAAATAATACAGTAATAACATAATGGTCTAATCATATTCTGTCAATGTTCATCAATTCATCAAAAGAGTCACCATCTAGACTCTCCAAAAAGTCACAGAATACTTTCCGAATAGTCCAAAATATATGCATTTTGTTTTTTAAAATAGGTCTCTTTTCTTGGGCAAGGCAAGAGGTGATTCCCTTTATCCACTGAGATACACCTTTTTTTCCAAGAACAGGTAATTACATGTGTAACCCTCTGGTCCTACAGCACCCAACCCGTTCTGTGCTGGGATCAAACTGGCAATTCTTTGCATGGGAGTCTGCTGCTCTAACAAGTAGGCCTGTCGCTAGCGTCTTTCACTAGAGCACCTTTAGAGGTCAGAGGAGTGAGGTTTACTTGCATAGTACTTTGCTTACTGGCCTCCATTGCACTCACCCTCCTAAACCTCATTCCCATCCCAGACGAGCCCCCATGTGTAACCCACCGGTCCTACTGCACCCAACCCGATCTGTGCTGGGATCTAACCAGCGATTTTTTGCATGAGAGTTGGTCGCTCTAACAAGGAGGCTAAAGACCATGGCCTCTAGCGTGTGTCGCTAGACCACCTTTAGAGTCAGATAAGTGAGGCTTACCTGCATAGCACTTCACAAGCTGGACTCCGTAACACTCACTAAACACTAAACCTCACTCTAATTCTGGATGAGCCCCCACATGTAACCCACCAGTCCTACTGCATCCAAGCCACACTGAGCTAGGATTGAACCGGCGATTTTTGGTATAGGAGTCGGCTGTTCTAACAAGGAGGCTAAAGACTATGACCTCTAGTGTCTGTCGCTAGAGCACCTTTAGAGGTCAGAGGAGAGAGGTTTACATGGATAGCACTTCATTAGCTGGCCAGTTACACTCATCCCCCTATACCTCATTCCCATCTCAGACAAGCCCCCATGTATAACACACCGTCCTACTGCACCCAATCCAGTCTGAGCTGGGATCGAATCTGGGATTTTTCCATGGGAGTCGGTTGCTCTAACAAGGTGGCTAAAGACCATAACCTCTAGTGTCTGTCGCCAGAGCACCTTTAGAGGTCAAAGGAGTGAGGTTTACCTGCATAGCACTTCACTAGCTGGACTCCATAACACTCACTAAACCTCACTCCCATCCCGGACGAGCCCCCTCATGTAACCCACCGGTCATACTGCATCCAACCCTGTCTGAGCTGGGATTGAACTGGCGATTCTTTGCATTTGAGGTTTACCTGCATAGCACTTCGCTAGCTGGCCTGCGTTACACGTTTAGTTTCCAGCAAACATAAAATTAACAGCAATCTTTTATGTTTGGTCACTTTAAAGTCCAATCAGCCAATTGCAATATACACAGGCTGGAATTAAGAAGAATTACTTTCCCAATGATTTGACTTACAACAATGGGTCACACTTTACAATAAGGTAAATTAGTTAATGTTAAGTAATGCATTTACTAACATGAACATACAATGAACAATACATTTACTACAGTATTTATTCATGTTAGTAAACGTTAGTTAATGAAAATACAGTAGTTCATTGTTAGTTCATGTTAACTCATGGCGCATTAACTAATGTTAACAAGCATGGACTTGAATGTTAATAATGCATTAGTAAATGTTCAATTATGATTAATAAATGCTGTACAAGTGTTGTTCATGATTAGTTCATGTTAGTATATGCATTAACTAATGAACCTTATTGTAAAGTGTTACCCAACATTCAGTATTTTAAACCCAAAAACAATTGACTTTCAAATTAAGATATTTTAGATAAGGTCTGAAATCTCTCTCATCTTTGATAGACTGCAAGGTTTTCAATACTTTTAAAATCCATAAACCGAATTAAAAACATTCCACTCCAAACATGTCAGTGGTTCATCTGTAACCACACGAAACTTTTCTCCCCGTCAGTGTGTGTTTATTACCGACAATACAATGTATTGCCACTAGAGTCAACAGCACAACACACAAGCGTAATATTTGCTGTAGTAAATGCACAGTGGCATCTGATGCAGCTGAAGAGACCATATAGGTGAACAAAGTTGTTTCTACAGTTTTTTTGGTGCACAAAAGAGTTCTTGTAACTACTTTCGATTTGTTTTCTCGACTTTGAGGATCTCAAGTTCATAGCTATCTAAAAAGGTCAGAGAGCTCTTTTAGATTTTATATAAAAATATCTCAATTTGTGTTCTGAAGATGAACGAAGGTATCAGGGGATTGGAACAAAATGAAGGTAATTATTATTTATATATATATATATATATATATATATAATGAAATAACCTTTTTAAGAACAGGTCATATAGGGTTTTAAAATTGTGTTAGAGTCTACTACAGCAAGTTTCAGTGCAGCTAAGGTCAGAAAACATTGCAATTTCATCAGAATGTGCCTTTAATATTAGAATCAATTGCTTCAAATCAAGGCTTAAGATCTATAAACTCCTCCCTTCCATAACTCTGCTTTGATTGCTCATTTTGTTTGGAATCGAAACACTCATTACAAAATGTTTGTATTAGAGCTATGGCGAAAAATAATTAGATAATTAGATTAAAATGTTAAACAAATTTTCAATATTCTCTCTTGAATCGATTCTGAGCTGTTTTTTAACAGCAGATGCCGGTGTATGCATTATAAACAACTGTAGTCTGATTAAATCTGACTCATTTCAAATGCACTTTAAAATAGCCCCCCCCCCCCCCCCCCCCCCCCTCAATAAATAAAAAATAAAGAGTTATGTTGTTTCAGCTCAATTTAAATAAGTCATTTGAAAAAACAGCAAATGCTATTTTTGGTATCACTTTAACCTAAATAATCATTAATAAAGTTCTGAAATGTTTGAAAATCCGAATAGGAAAGTGAATTACAAAAGTGTTTAGAGTGAGCTGTGTTTACAATAATCTTATATTTGCTTGATGCTTAATAAGGCTTGAGCCGACGCTCAATCAATTTAGGAGATAATAGCAATGCTTTTTGAAATCGTTAGAATTCACGCTGAATTAATTTCTCAAACAATTTTTCGCTATCGCTCTAATACAAACACTCTGAAATGGGCAAACAAAACAGACTAGGCCTGCTGACCAATCAGAACAGAGATGACAAAGAAAATTGTGTCGACATACAAAAGAAGTTGCAGGCAAATTAGATTAAAAAATATAATGACTCTGACTCTTTCCTCTGAGACAATATTTTTATATATCAAGCATTTTACATTTACATTTAAATGACAGGATACGAACTATTTTATAAAAACCCATATGACCTGCTCATTAATTTAATTGGCAGATGTAAAATAAAATCTAAACTTATTAATAAACAGCGGTCATAAGATATTGTATGTTTATGTAAGGTCATTTTTGGTTGACTGCAACCTTCAATATTGGAGAGATGTTGAGTGTTTGAGTGCATTGACCTCAACCTACAAAGCAGGACAGACAATGAATTTTGGTTATAAATGACTGAGTAGACATCTAAACATGGTCATTGTCAGTCCCCAATGTTGGACAGAATGTAGAAGCTTGGTTGTAATTGAAAATTAGGTTGACGTTGAAAATTAAATTCTGCCTTGATGTCAAGCACCAACGTTGACTAGACATTGACAATTGAAAATCAAGTTAACGTCAAACCTCCAATATTGAACGGACATTAAAGTTTGGTGAAAAAATGAGTTGGAAATGACTGGGTGGACATCTAATCATGGGTTGGATGTCAGTCCCCAATGTTGGACAGAATGTAGAAATTTGGTTGTAATTGAAAATCAGGTTCTCAAAAATTCAATTCTGGCTTGATGTCAGGCACCAACTCTGAACAGAAATTGACAATTGATAATGAAAATCAAGTTGACGTCATCCTCCAACATTGGATGGACATTTAACTTTGGTGAAGAATGTAAAATCAGTTTGACGTCAAAAATTCAATTCTGGCTTGATGTCAGGCACCAACGTTGACAATTAAAAATCGAGTTGACGTCAACTTCAACTTTATTTCGAGTTGGAAATAAATGCATAGACATCTAAACATGGTGTCGATGTCAGTCCCCAATGTTGGACAGAATGTAGAAGTTTGGTTGTAATTGAAAATCAGGTTGACGTCAAAAATTCAATTCTGGCTTGATGTCAGGCAACAATTCTGAATAGAAAGTGATAATTGAAAATAAAATTTATGTCAAACCTCCAATATTAGACGGACAATGAAATTTGGTAAAAAATTGAGTTGGAAATGACTGGATAGACATCTAAACATGGTGTCGATGTCAGTCCCAATGTGGGACAGAATGTAGAAGTTTGGTTGTAAATGAAAATCAGGTTGGCGTAAAAAATTAAATTCTGGCTTGATGTCAGGCACCAACTCTGAATAGAATTGAATTGATGAAAATTGATGTCAAACCTCCAATATTGGATGGACATTGAAGTTGAAAAAATGAGTTGATGTCAAAATCCATTGCTTGATGTCATTGGACTTTGGTTGAACATAAATATCAGGTTGATGCCAAAATTCAACACTGGTTTGATGTCTGCCTCTAACATTTGACATACGTTAAAGTTCATTTGGAAATTGAGCTGATGTCTAAACATTGGATTGGCTTGATAAAGTGATAAGTTGAGTCTTAATGATGTTAAAATCCAGTGTTAATATGCTTTACATTGCATAGATGATGAATTTTGGTTGACATCTAGACATGATTTCAGCCAAAATTCAACATTAGCTTCACATTAACCTCCAACATGTCTCACTTTGGTTGACAATTTGGTGAAAATCCAATGTTGGATTGAGAGCGATATTGGATTGAATTTGATTGGATGTAAAATTCAGGCTGCCATCTAAACATAAAACTGGCTTGACAGCAACATTCAAATTACGATTATGGATAATAATGTTTAAACAACATTAATTGGGTTTTTGGGTACTACATATATTATTAAATGTGTTCAATGTCTGAACTATTA